ATATAATTATATATATAAAATTTCCTATATTTACCTCTATTTAGTATGTTATTTGGATTTGACAAAATTTACTCTGAATCATAATTTTTGTAATAGTACTTCAATCTCTATACATATACTAATATATTAAGATTATATAGTCTATGGTTCTATGAGCTATGAAAATAAATCATTGATGATCTGATGAAAAAAGAGCAGAAGAATCGAAGTCATTGCTTTAAGAGATATATGAAATATTTTGTTCAACGCACATTTTCTTCTTAGAACGAGTATGAGGGGCAAGAGATTTGACAAGTTATTGTGTTGTATTAATAACAACCAGCACTTACAAAACAAACACTCAAAGACTGTTGTTATTGGAGGAAGCAACTGTGCACTTTCCACTAGCTTTCTAGTTGCCAGCAGGGGAAATCAATAGGCACTGCACGATATTTCCTGAAACAAAAATGTTAAAGTCAACATTTTTTTCTTTCACATCTATCAAGGAAGCATAAAACTCTTCTAAAATAAGAATCCTCTGACCAATTCCTTAGTCATCATATCAAATGTTTTCAAACTTCTACTGGATCCCACTCCGTACTATCTAGTCTTTTCTCACAGAAACCCAAATACTTGCACATCCTCTTCTTTTGGAATATACTTCATAAATGCAAATTTATGGTAAATCCAAAATTACATTGCTTAATTTATTTATCCATATAAGACTTCCACATATTCATTTCTAAAAACAGCCTCTTATTTTTTTTCACTGATTCATTCACACATTAAGCAATTTACCTCCTATGCCTATCTTGCAGAAAATGCTTTCCATTTGCTAGTTTTCCTTGCTTCTAGGTGGAAAGAAATACTTCTTATTTTCCAGATTCTCGATTTAAAATGAAAATTTTGGGAAGAGAATAGTTGAGGGATAAAAACGTCTAAACAGATGGCTCCCCTTTACCTCTTTCAGTTTTTGGTTTTTTTTTACAGAAAAACCATACAATTACAGATGTCCACAGTACACAATGCCCCTTAGCTTATAGGGTATAGCTTATTAGAATATTAAATTTAGGGGAAATACTAATCTACTGAGTTTTATTAAGTTCTGTGATATTCCCAAGTGCAATTGGAAATACATGCACATTTTGGTAAGTAAGTTAGTTGCCCTTTTGTAGGTTTTCACAAAAGGTTGTGATTTTAAATTTAGGGAGAGAAAATTTTAGAAAACCTCACCAGAATTAGAAAATTTAATGCAGTTATAATGCCTCTAGAGGGCAGTATTAAATTATTTGAGGCTGTAACTTAGCTTTTTTTTTTTTTTTTTTTCCAAACAAGTCACTCAATGTATGAAGAGTGAAGATGGAAGAGGAACGTCTTCCTTTTGTAATCTTATTCATGGATGCAAATGGCTGGGAAACCCAAGTCCTTATTACTCCACTCAAGTATTATGGGAGGGGAAGCGGTTTAATTGAGCTTTTTATCTGTTCTCCAGAGAAAGCTAAATTCTCTGATTAAGGTCTAATGGACTGTTGTTGACATACTCAAAATAGATGATGTCTACAATGAGAAAATACAGCAGTTCTTTTTTAAATAACATTCTTTCCATGCTGGCCACTATAAGAAACACAGTTTGAGTGAGATCTCATTAGCTTTAAACTGATGGATTCAATTGTGGATTCAGACATGTTAAAGTAAACTAATATATTGAAAATGTTTTTCTAAATTGTAGCAGATGAAAATGTAAGTTTTACTTATAAAGTCTTTGATTCTTTGTATACATATATGTGTGTATATATGGACATATTTACATTAAATATATACATGGAATCTTCCTAGATTTTTAATTACATGGAGAAAAAGTAGATATGAAGAACAATGACAGCCTTTCTGACTGCTGTCACTTCACTTTACTCCTCTTTTCACATAAACCATGTTGCACTTCTGAAGCAAAGGAGAGATTCCTCAGATCACAGTGAGTTATTTGACCTGCTCAAGTATAACTTACAGTTCTCCATTTCAGTTCTTTCCTTAGAGAATGTATCTTTCCAATGTTGTAAAGTCAATTTGATTTTTCCTGAATAATCATGTCACACCCTGAAGTGATGAAAGAAGGTTTGAGGCCGTGCTTGACTTTCCTGTATTCAAAACAGGGTGAAACTGTGAAGGTTTCTTCCTCTTGTTGTGGAAATAAAAGGTAGGATCAGCATGACGGCTTTACTCATCCTTCTGGCATTCTCTTTGGGAATGTAGAATATATTTTCTTTTATAGAATATGTTTCCAAACTGAATACAGAATCTGAAGGATGGTCTTATATACCTTCCAGTCCTTTTGTGAAAGAAATATTAAATATTCCCTTTAATGTTTAGATGACTTACAATTAAGTACGTAAGGAAATGCCATTTTTGGCAAAAATATAGTTTCTTGGGAGCTCACGTTTCTTAGTAACTTGTACTTGCACAATATTGTAAATACTTAATGAAACATTACAGCATCATTGAGGTATCAGGTATTCGGCTTTAAAATTTAGATCAGAATTTTTAAGATTTCAAAAAGATTTCTGCAGTTTCCTATTGAGCAACACTGGCATGAGTCAGAAAACAAAGTAATTATCTCTGCAATCAGAAAATCATCATCCTCTGAAGGTAATAAAACAAACAAAGTTCCCTTGTCTCCAACCTTGGCTTAAAATTGGGAGATTTCTAGGAAGGCAGCACTGCATCTCCTGTGAAGCCCTACCCTCTCCCCCTCCCTCTTGTGGGTGAGGAGTTGAGCACATGTGAAAACACAGATTTCTTTCCTACCCCTTGATCTTCTTCTGTTTATGAACTGAATGCTTTGACTCTGAAGAGTGTCTGCAGCCAGGTGAGGCTGTGGAGCCATATGAGCATAAGCACGATGGGTCACCAAGTTTACTGTGTGAGCTATGTGCATAAGCCTGAGATTACTGCTTTTCTTATACTTTCAATATATTTGGATATGGTTGGCATGGGTATTCTAAACAATGCCTTACTCGGAGCACAGAATTAAAATCTACTACTCCTCATACATCCTTCCCCCACCCCCGGCATGGACAGACAAGGGACCTCCATACCTTCATGCATTTGTTCAGCAATTCAGCTCATTGTACAGGCACACTCTTATGAAATTCCTAAAGGCAGTATGACCTGTGCAATATCCTCAGGCACAGCCACAATTATACACTCTAAGTTAGGGGCCAAAATAACTCTAAACATTTCCTGCTCAATCTGTTAATTTGTTTTCCAATTTCTAAGCTATCTTTCTATTCACTTAAAACCAGACCAGTTCGGCCTTTACTATTCATCAATTTGTGGAACAACTCAACATCCCAAATAACCCATGAGTTTTATCTGTTTTTCCTGTTTAAGTACATTTCCTTCTTTCAAAGTGTAGTTTTCTTCAAGACAAATTATGTCCTGTCTATAGCAAAAATTTTCAGCACTATTTAACTCAATTCAAATCTCAGAGTTATACACTATAATGTATCCAAAGGCTTCTTGGGAGTTACATGTCCTATCAGCAAGGAAAGCTTACCTTTCCAGCACTTAGCATATCCATGCACTAACTTGGTTTTCTTCCTGTGTTTCTATCATAATGAATAGCATCATGATTTGCCAGCTTTCTCAAACCTGAAGCTTCATGGTGATTTTGGAGTCCTAAATACTTCCTGACATCACCTCTTGTTTGACTTACTCCAGTATTTCTCATGATAAAATGGAAGTGACTAAAGCAATCATTTCTTACTCTAAAATATTAATTGATTCCCTTTAGCTTTCAGAAGGAAATCCATAACTTTCACATTTTACAAGACCTTTTATTTATTGAACCACCTACAAACTAGATTTTATCAAGATTGCTGCCAATGAAAAATTACATTATCTCTTTGGTAACATTTTTCAGGGAAATGATTTTTAAATATGGAAGAGATTAATGGATTTCCAGAGTGTAGCACCTTTGAACATGTAGAAGACCATTAAAAAGTAACAGGAAGGTAAAAGATAGTTTGTCTCACAAGGCTGGGATACATGGATGGAGGGGCAGATGAACAGAGAGAGGAAAGGTTGATAAATACAGTCACAATATTCCATGTGCATTCATAAAAATAGAACTAAGAAACTTTAGGAGGTGGGAATCAGTCTAAATGGGAGGAGGAGGATAGAAGAGATAACATTGATCAAAATGCATTGTACACATAATAGACATGTTAAATTAAAATTCCTTTGTACAGCAACTTGGAGATAACAGAATTTTTTACTCTAACAGCTTTGGAGGTTGAAGATGAAGGCTTCACCTTCATGACTTACTCACTTCCTAAGTTTCTAATATGTTTGCATCATCCTCATCATACAACATTTGTGGGGACACAATAGTTAGACCATAATAAGCTCTATTCCTTTATCACACATTTTCTTCAAGTATAAGACATTTCCATGCATATCTACAATGTGCATATTGAAATCAAGGAGCAGGCATCAACAAATTATTCCTAATTTTCATAGCACTTTCAATATTTTAACTGTATTAGCATGTCTTAGCAAATAGATGGAAATGTAAGAACTGAAAATGCAAGTAGTTCAGGTCTCTAATTAATCAACTGAATTAAACAACTAAATTAATCAATCCTTGAGCTACCTGAACTCATGGCTTATCATAATACCTTTCCACATTGAACAAATCTCTCATTGTCTTTTTAAAATTAACTTCAAAATAACAGCAGTCTAATATTAAATCTTACTTAAGCACTGCCATGATTTTATAAATTTTCATTTTATACCTATATATATATATTAACTCAAACTGAAAATCCCCCAAATACATGATCCATAATTCAGTCATTTTTCGTATTTCCCAGCATTGGGTATGGTATTTGGTATATAATAAATATTTGATGAATAACTGTTCACTAGTTGCATTTTACTTAAGACTTTACCAGGATTATTTATAGTGACCTTAATTTTAAGGATTAACTATAGTCTATACTTCCATTATTACTGAAGACTGGGTAAAAATTCAACCACCAGTTCTGCATGATGTATCAGAGGCTAAAGGAACAAGGTTTGCTTCAGTAATGTTGACAGCATTAGGCTCAGGAACTACTGAGGTAGCCTACTCTAGCCTAGTGCAAAAAATATTTGCTGCATTTTTATTGGCTACATAAAGAAAGGTTTTGTTTTTGTTTTTGTCGTTGTTGGTGACTTTTTCCCCCTTTGGTGATAGGAAAACCTCATAGAAGTTAAGATTTGGAAACAAAGGATTACCTGAAGTTGAAACTTGAGATGGAAGATTTTCACCTTTATCCCATTGTATAGTCTTCATCTTTTGCAACTGAGGTAAAATATTATGTCCTCTTTTGTTATTTCATTTTTAGTTTTTTTCTTTTTTTTTCTTTTTTCTTTTTTTTCTTTTTGTCGGTCATGGGGCCTGAACTCTGGGCCTGGGTGCTGTCCCTGAGCTGCTTTTGCTCAAGACTAGCACTCTGCCACTTGAGCCACAGCGTCACTTCCAGCTTTTTCTGCTTTTGTGGTGCTGAGGAATGGAACCCAGGGCCTCATTCACGCATGGCAAGTACTCTACCACTGAACCACCTTCCCAGCCCATTTTTAGTTATTTTTTTAAATATGTATTTTTGTCCTTGCTGTTACTTTCTTTGTAAATGCAAAATAACACCTAGTCACTTAGCAAGACTTCATACACAAAGCAAGGCACATTTTCTAAGAATTTGGGAGCAGGTTGGTGAGAACTAAAACTAAGAATACTTTACAATGAAGATTTTTCAGCTACAGAGAAAACTTGGTTGACCAAGCAACAAGAAAGAAAAGAATCAGTTATTTTAAAAGTTTATGTAAAGATTATAATAAAAGACCTTATGTAAGAACATACAATTATAAAAACAGAAATTTCTTTGTTGAGTTGTTTTAGTGTAGGTTTTCTTGTCCTTTCAGAATAGAAAATATTGGATATGAAAGCAATCATGTAATTGATCTAGTCCAACTCCTTTATAGATTTAGGTCAGTGACCCAAGACCGAGCTATAGTTCTAGTAATTTTTTATCCACTACAAGTATGACTATTTCAAAATAGTCATGTAAGTAGTTTGGTTATTTGCAAAATGTACTGCCTTGGCTCCATCACATTTTTTGAACTTACCCTAGAATGAAATACAAAATATTATTTGAATAAGAATATATATCTATTTCCGTAGTCTATATCAATTTACCATTTAGATTCAAGTGCCTTTAACCTTGCTTTCACTGCTTCCATTCCAGGTCATTGCTCAGGGTCTTGTAGAGTGTGCATTACCTGTATATTCTCTGGCGAAATCACTTTCCTCTTCTCTTCAATCCATCATGTTTCTCTCATACTGACTTTGAGATCTGAGAGTGAGAGTATTTTATTTCTTAAGTACATGAGCTCTGAACCCACAATGCCTGGTTAAAAAATTCACATCTACATTTGCTCACTGTAGGAACTTGAATCATTGCAACTCATTTTTCAAGACTTTCAGTTACACATATGCAAAACCAGAAGATGACTGATATTCCAGGAGGTTTGTAAGGATTAAACTCTTCAAGCAAGTGAACCTGAGGGAGATCATAATCATTTCTTGATTTTTTTATTTGTTGATAACTGGAATCAATATTGATAACTTGCCAAAGCAAAAAGATAGTCGTAAGGTACCATACAAAATTTGTTCATGATTATTTCAGATTCTTGTCCTGAAATCTTTTTATAATATGCTGTGCTATATTCTAATAATTCTGCATTCATTTAAAGTACCCATTTAGAATTTGTGAATTCTCTGTAAGTTTTTTAGAAAATAAAAAGCATTACTTTTTGTATTGTTTCAGTGCATTTCCTTAATAACAAGCTGTCCTTTATGTTACAAAGATCAAAACAACAGTAAAATAATTTTACAACTATTTAATTATTTTATTATAAAGATTTTTATCATGGACATGTAGTGTCAACCTTTATGCTTGACCCTGAGAAGTATGTTTTTATGGTTTTATCTTATGATGGAATAGTTAACATTGCCTTAAGTCTGTTGCCTCAAAATGAGGTAACACATTGACATTTCTGCTCTTAGGGCTTCAACTCAGAAGTTCAAGTGCTTGGCATCCACGAGATACAAGAATGTGAAAAGCACATTCTTGTTTTTATTATGACTAATTCTATTGCTTGAAAAAATCCTAAATATCTTTTAACTGGGGAATATATTACTTATTTTTATACCAGTTTATAAAAGCAGTCTAACAAACCAGCAGAAATGAACTATGGCTCTTTGTGAACATGGTTGATACCAACACTATCAAATGTAATCTGATTCCTCCCTTTATTTTCCAATAGAAAATTAGTCATTGTATTATTTATTCATAGTTGGGAGAGGCTACTCCAGAGTTTGTAAATCAGTATGGCACCTGATTTGGTCTCCTCACCTTAACTTTGCTCTGCTAGTTGGAGATTTTATACATGAACAAATGATAGGAATTCATTATAATTAAATAACAAAATGCTGAAATAAGGATACCGGTTGACCCACTGTAGCAATGAGATGTACAAGACACTATGTTGAAAATTAACTTTACAACTTGGAGTCAGGGAGGAGTTAGGGAGATGGGGAGGGAAGGGTTGGTAGGGGGGAAACAAAGGAGGAGGTAGCAATGTTCAATAGGAAATGTACTCATTAGCTTACTTATGTAACTGTAGCCCCTCTGTACAGCATTTTGACGATAAAAATATATATTATATAAAAATAATTTAAAAAGTATTTATCGAATGGAGTAAAATTAAGATTAAAAACGTATCAGTTTTCCTAAAAATTAATCAAGGGTAGCCATTCATTTATTCTATGTATGATTGTTGAAGGAAGACTTACTTTGTGCAAGGTCCTGTTGCAGAATAACTTCTCAATCTTTACTCTGTAATGTCGTTGCAAAACGTATGTGTTTAACCCAACTTATAACATATCTCATCATATGTACGTAATGAGTTTTCAAGGGACACAAAAGAAGAATATTTACCTAGGAAGATGGACAAGAATGGTTAGAAGAAGACAGTTCCTAGACATGATAAGCACTCTTCTTGATGAAACACTATAGAGAAAAACATAGCCAATTACAGAATTGAAATTGCTAGCTTTTAATATTGCATACTTTATAATATACAAAATATTTATAATAACAAAGTTTCAACATTTTAAAATGCAAGTTTGAGTTTAAAAATTTGTTTACATTTATAAATATACAATTATGCAGCTGTACACTAATTCATTCACTGAAATAATGTTAGCAGTGAAGAACTCAAATTATTTATTCTTTTGGAAAAAAATTATTTATTCTTTTGGCTAATTCAGTGGTCCAACAAAATGAACACCAAGAAAGTGGGACTTGAGAGATGAAATGAGGTCAAAGAGGGGTAGACATTGAAGAGTGGAAGGTGAAGAGAATGTAGTCATAATGATCAATGCATATCCTATAAAACTAAGAAAATTGAGTGGAAAGAGGGTTGGGAGGGATGCAGTGAATGACAAAAGGGATGACATTGATCAAGATGCATTGTATTAATAAACTGATTTGTTGAGTTTTCACTTACAACTACTGAAAGATGATAAAAGTCTAACTTAAAACTATTTTATTATATCACTTTTATTCATATAGTATAAGGACTATAGTTCGTTGTATACAGAAACACTACTAGGGAAACAAGAAATTGACTTTAACTTATATCATGTTTATTAAAAGGCTTCACTTTCAACCTATCATAATGATATACTTGAAATTACTTTTATAAATGTATTGATAAGATTTTGAGAAGTAGAAAACACAATAAAAGAATTATACTGCTTGTGTAAAAAATTGTAAGGGTTTGATAAGTGCATAATGCCATGTTAAAAAAAAATTACATCTCTTCCAAAGGTTTAGAAACCAGGATTTTTTGTCTTGATTTATTTGTTTTTCTCAGCACAACTTGAGAAGAAAATTATTGTACTAGTAAGTCCTCTCAATATAGTGATTCATTGAAAATATGAGAGAGGTAGAAATTATAGACCTGTACCCTAAAAATGAAATACATTTTTTGTATTATGACCAAGATAGCCTTAACATTCCCTTCAACATAATTTAATCTTACCCAGGCTCATATCTGACTGTAGGCCCAAGGTCTTCCCTATTTTAAAGCACTTACTTAAGAATACTTGTAGCCCGGCACCGATGGCTCATGCCTGTAATCCTAACCACTCAGGAGGCTGAGATATAAGAGTCATGGTTCAAAGGCAGCCCGGGCAGAAAAGTCCGTGACACTCTGATCTCCAATAAACCACTAGGAAACCGGAAGTGGTGCTGTGGCTCAAGAGGTAGAGCACTCGCCTTGAGCTGAAGAGCGCAGGGACAGTGTCCAGGCCCAGAGTTCACGAATTACGACCAAAAAAAAGGAATAGTTGTAATTTTTCCCCTTCCAATTTTGGATGTAAATCTTTTGCAAAGTTTCCTGTTACTTTTAGAATCCACAAATGCTTTTCTCAATGGACTGGAAGCAATCCTTTTGAAACATGTTCATTAAAGAAGATAGGTAGCATCCTTACACATTCTGCCCAGCCTTTGTGGGAGAGTCTTCATTGAATTTCAGTGGACATTTCGCTTCAAGTAGACAAACTATTTTCTTCATGAAGCTATGAGGGAAGTCACTTTACCTTTGGTTAAAAGTAGTTACCACATGCAAGTCACCTACCATCTATCCTTCCTTAGCCCCTGAATTACAATTATAAAACTCTTCAGTGCAATGGAACTAAAACTGAGTTTGACTCTCTCCTCCATTGCAATAGTATTGCATAAAAATTTCCTTCCTTATTAAACTCTGTGTGATACAATGTTTGCTTTGTAAACATTATATCATGTGATAGGTTTTATACAGCTGAGGTATACAGCTCATAAATATGATATTTTACCAAATTAAATAAGATCTTGTTTAGAAAAAAGTACTAGGGAATTATTCACCACAATCCATCTGAGAAAACACATTTTTATAATGAACTTAAATTTAAAAATCTATACCAGGACCAATCACAAATTTTTATATGTAGGGTGAATGGGTTTGTGTTTGTCCTTGACTATGTGACCCATCTATT